TGTTATCCTAATGGCAATCAAGCACCTGAATTCAAGCACATTGATTTTTTGTTATGGTATGCGTCTTGAAATACTGTGATTTTAAAATGAAAAAAGGAGAGAGTACATAGCGGGTAGTCTTGTCCATCAGACTTCTCAATTGCTTAATAATCTCAAGATCATGCACTTTTCATTCTCCCACTCATTCTGTTGGGAATACCTTTAAGGTACAGAAGATACTGTTTAACATCACACTAGGTCCCTGCATATACTTTTATGCACGTGTTGTCATGTTCTAAGAAGGCTATGTTTTTATTGGTGTCTGAAATTAGTTCTGCCAGAAGTGCATTAATTTTTTTTCAGCCTGTAAATGTGTTAATTATTGAAACGTTCTTAAAACTAACGTGATCCTCTTTTGAGGATTCTTCAACAAGTGGCTAAAGGTTCAGCTGGTGAACTACAACTTCCAGAGCTCACTTACCTTAAAGGCAGAATAGCAAGCAGTATTGCTTTCTCATGCACGTGCCAGCCAAACATGAAAGAGCTCAATGCACAGAGAACAACGCACTGAAGGAAGCCTCTGGGCCCTTGAGGTTTAAACCAAAGACAGAAAACAGAGGGCTAGAAACAATAGGCAAAAACAAGACTTCAGTGAAAAGCTTAATGATCTCCAACACAAGCCAAAGGCCACAAGAGCTTTTACAACACCAATGAACACAAGTGCACCCACGATGTGCTTTGAATCTAACCCACCAAACTTATTTCATAAAAGTTACTACTGAGGGTGCTGAAACAAAGATATTTCTGGTCAAAGGCTAATACAATGACTCATTAGAATTAAAAAACAGACAAACAAAAAAACCCCACAGCTTTGTATCCAGTTAATAACTTACCAAGTCTTCAATGATTGCTTGTCATACAGAAAACACTGTGCTCACCTGTAGCTCCTACTATTAGGAGCACAACAAACTTCCCAAACAATTCCATCAACCTCTCTCTTCGGCTCTTGAATACTTCTTCAACCACCCACTATCACAAAAGGCTACTTCTAGCTTAGTATGCAGAATGGTTTTGATCCACGATTGTTTGATTTGATTTGATCCACACACACACACACACAAAGATCTCTAAAGTCTCATGTAGAATGTATGATAATTAAACCAAATCCAGTGAGGATGGGACACGTGAAGTTTACAAAAACATTATTTGTTCTTACCAATATTGATATTAAAGTACAGATTAATGTTGCTAGTGGAGTCACAGAAGGGAGGACAGTATGCTGAAATTCTTGAACCAACCCTCCTGTCATTGAGGCTTTAGGTATTTTTGTGGAGTCAAGAAGGTTATACTTTAAACCTGGAAACAAATGATAAAAGAGTACAAGCTGATAAATGTTAAAGAAAATAAAGAAGCAGTAGTACTTGTAATACAATGTAATAGACCTAAACTAAGTATATAGGTGAGCTTTTTCTTTTTAAAATGATAGAGAGGGAAGATTGATTTCTGACCTAATAACCAGAAAACGTTAGCATGCACTGTATTATATGTGGATTATCAAGAGATTTAAGGCAATCTAATTTGGTCCCTGGATTTCACATGGGGAGGGAAGACTAAAATCCAGAGATTTATGTCTGGATAAGTGCCAGATACTAAGTGCCAAATAAGTGTGTAAATAAGTGACAAATGCTAAGATTATCATACTGTACCAACAACTGTTAACGCTTTATCCATGGCATTGTACAAAGCCCAGAAGTTGGGGGCCCAATAAGCATGGCAGAGGCCTCTCTTGAAAGGAAAAAGTCGTGAAAGGACCTGAGGCAGCTGGCCCTAAACGGGAAGGAAAAAAAAATAATGAAAGAAACACCTTTTTTAGATGAGACATGGTTTATATTTTGGATGCATTGTCTAAAATGTTGAGGGAATAAAAGGTGAAAAAGGAATCATTACCAATACTATAAAGGGGCCCAAAGAAAGCGCAGAAACAAGACAGACAATCAGTCCCAAGAGAGTTGTGTGAAGAAAGCTGAAACTTCTCCACTTCAGGGATCCATCTACGAGAAACAAAAAGATTATGAATAGAGATAGCAGGGCAAGCAGGGAGGGGCACAAAGATTCCACCCTGACAGCGAATTGCTGGCACACATACAACCTTTATATCAATATATTCAGCCCTTTATATCAAATATATTCAAATGCTTACTTCAACAGCTACCTTTAGCTACATTCTGATTTATATACTATTACACTAAGGAACTTGGATGTCAGCAAATTAGACTCTGCATCAAATGTATTGCTTATATAGGACTAAATCACAATCAAGCTTCAGTTTCTTATGGATCAGGATACAGCTATAAGTAGAAGGCTGCGGCAGGAATTATTGCACATCAAGGATACATTTTATGAGAGACTGAGATAGGCCTGAAACCACAGCTGTATTGTGCTACCCATGTGCTACATGTGTGTTGCCTTGAATGTGGGGTTACTTTTCCTCATCAATAAATTACAGACTACTAAAGATCCTACTGAACAGGAAAAAAAAGTCTATTAAATTACAGGAAAATACCGATAACATGAGAGTAGTATGAATTCTAATTTAGTAGGATTGTAAGACTTTCTGAGTAGGGCTCAGATTAGGACTCTTTTTGAGCCTGACTTATTTTCTTAAAACCAGCTCTTGTGATCTGCCCAGACCCTACCCAGGAGCACTAGACTTCTTTTTGCTTGCAACTATTCTTATTTTCCATGTTGGAAAATTGCTTTAAAAATAGGTTATATTTCTTTTATTTGTGCTCCTCATTAATCTATGCCCTTTTATTTATTTCACACTGCACCTCCTTCATTTTTCAACCTTTATCCATCTTCTCTTTCAAGAGCCATTTCAGAGACTTCTCTGTTCGTGTGAGGAATATCAAACATTTCTCAGTGCTAAAAAGAGAAGAGAAATTCTAAGAAAGACTTTGGAATAACCTCTGAGGCTACCTAATCATTCCATATCTACTCTGAATGCTTCCTATGGCTTCAAACTGGCATCTACAGCTAGCTTGTGTTGGCTTTACTTATAAAAGAACTCAAGAAACAGAAATTCTACAGGAACAAGTATAGATCTTTCCAACACTGCTTCCCAAGCAGAATTTAATTCATTTGACTTACAGCCATCTTGTTACAAAGATAATTTCAATTTTCCTTTCTTCTTCAGTCTTATCTAAACCCCATTAATTAACATGTTCTGCCCCCCCAAAGTGAGTAAAGAAACATTTACATCTTACCTGTATTATTTGCAGTAAAACAATAAGATCGCAACAAATAAATGCCGTATGCTGGGGCCACGTACACATAGATGTGTTTGAAATGCAGAAGAACAGCAAAAAGAGCAGCACCCTCCAAGTATCGTTTCTAAACGTAGAAACAAAACAAATCCCAAACTTTTCAACTTTTCTCCTTGTACAAGCTTTTAATGGCACTTCTACTGCCCTCATTAGGCAACAGAACATTCATCACAGCATAAAGCTAAATGAGTATTTGCATTATAAGTCAAAATTGCAAAGTAAATCCTGTCATGCAGCAGGTGTACAGAAGGAAACTCTATTTCCACATGATATTTGGAAATTGGGAGGTTTTGCAGCTTGGAGATGTGTCTTCTAAGGAGCAGTGTCTTATAACAAGATAAGGTGGCAAGAAGCCATGCCTCCTTATTTAGGTGTAACACAAAGTTTAGCCTTCTTACAGGGAACAGGAATGCTTCACCATTGATAAGCAAGCATTTATGGTGAGTTCCGATATCTCTTCTTCCCCCAAACTTAACAAACAATTAAATATTCACCTTAACGCACCTCAATTTTGAGCCGCTTCCAGTAAGTTCAACACGAGTGGCAACATGAAGTGAATTAACGAACCAAAACACATATGACATAACCAGAAAAGAGCTACTCAAGCTTACCTGACATAGTCGAGCAATGGAAAGAAGCATCAGCCCAAACAGAAAGCCGTTGTATTGGAAGTGAATATCTGAACTTGAGTCAAGAAAGGAATAAAGGTCTCTTTACTAGTGTCAGTTGCCTGGAAAAACTCAAGTGTATAGTCAAACATATTAAAATGGAAATTTAAGCTTAAGTTTACTCCATATAGACATAAAAATCATTAATCAATCTCACTTGCAAGAACAGACATGTGATTCACTAATACTGGTATATAATTGTGATGAAATACAGCAACTTTTAATAAAAATCTGGGTACCTGCATTCCCTGCAACTCACCCAGTAAAAATTAAAACAAATAAAAGATTACTATGATATGTTAAAGCTTCTTAGAATACTCTCATGAAAGAAATTCTTCAGTTTTTAAATTCTTAAGTATTAGTATCTGCTTGGTATCGTATTAATGGTCTGAGATGCCGCTCGCAACCTGACAGCAGGCAATTCAGACGTGGATTGCAAAGGCCAGTGCCCCAAACTATAAAACAATTGTCATTTTCTCCTCTGTGTTTTGTCATTAGCTAGATTGATGCATATTGAGAGTGACTGACATTAAGAGGATATTAGAATAGCTCAGGGTAGTTTAAGGAAATAATTCTCATGCAGAATAAATCAATTCAATAGCACTTCTAAGATTTTGCTTGCCATAGAACAGATCTAGAACCATGCCCAGACTCTCCCCAAATATTTCTGTAGGAAGGTAGAGAAGGAGCAGTCAGCAGAAAGAGGAAGCAAACTGGTCCTCCTAGAGTTCTGACAAGTCAGATAAAGGTTTGAAATTTTTCTGTCTTGCTAAATAATAATTCTAAAGAAAACACTAAGTTTTTCAGCTAGCCCTATGAACACAGTCACTGACTTTATTCTCTATGACAGAAATAATGCTTATGGGTTTGTAGCAAATGCTGTAACAGGTTAAAAAAAAATTAAAGGAATATACTATGATTTGAAAGGATACGATCCACGATTAATAATCCAAAATTCCACAAAAGCAGAGCAGCAAGAATGAATGTTGGTTTTTCCATAATATCCTTTCCAGCTCGTCTCCCATTCACACATCTGCAGCATCTGAACAAGAGTAGTATAAACGGAAAGATCAATTGAAACAGCTAACGAAAACATAAATTGCTAATTTAATAATTGGGAGGTGCATTTAATCTGAAGATATCTACTTTATTAGCACAAAATGCAATAATAAAATTATTTCTAAGTTCACCAAGTCAAGAGAATGACATGAATCAAGTTTAATAAGTAAAAGAATTTTAAAGTTAAATAATTGTAGTATTTTCCACATGGTAAAGCTTATGTTAAGCAGTTTAAAGAGTCTCAGGATTATGTCTTAGCTTGAATAATAAAAAATTGTCATAGTCTGTTTACTATGAATTGCTCAGGCATGAGCAAAGTCTTGCTGTATCTAGTGACAATATACCAAATTCTATTTAAAGTCCTCAGGTCGCCATTAACCTATTTCCTTACTCCCACCAAGATTGTAAGTTATAATTTTATTGTTTTTTAAATATCTTATTACTTCTCACTGGCAAAACCATATAGCTCATATTATGCTGAAGGTGAAGTTAGATTAAAACTTCAGTGATGACTTGCACTAACTTGGTGTAAGTAGGACTATTTTAAAAGAACTAGCGCATTCACACATATCTGAGCCAGAACAATAAAGAAAAAACAAACAAACAAACAGACAAATCAAAGCTTGCCTACTTCAGATGCAGAAAGTAAATAAAAGAATTTACATGCTGTAACACAAGAACACATAACTTTGCCCATTTTAATCTTTCTACCCCAATTTTGAGTAGATGGAATATTAGAGCCAAATCTTTACGGTGGGCAAGACAGCAATTCCCATGATATCTTCCTCCATTCTATATGAGCATAAAATGAATATTTCCCTTTACTAACCAGGGCATAACAAATAAAATAAAAACAAAACGCACACATAAAAAAAACCCTCCTCTCCCTCCTAGTACTAGCAATTTGGCCTGAAATAGCCAGTTCATTTACAAGAATATCCCAAACACTAGATTTTTGCACATTTGATCATATGGGTATTTTATCACAAGTTTTCTTCATAGTTCTAATCTGGACGACTACAGTAATAAGAGAAATAATATGAAAAAATAGCTGGGTTCACCCAACCTGTCCTTTAATCCTACAAGGTGAACCCAACAAGAAAAACTGCATACCTCTAGTGCGTGAAAGACAGCTAAACTCTGAATGTGTACAGATCCAATCTATGTATAGTAAGAATATGTTCAGAAATAACAAAAGTAGTAACTTGCATTTAGCTTGCACTCCCAATTTCTCTTGGAATGGGTTAAAACAATTTTGATTTTCCATGTATCTACCAGCTCATTTGTACAAATGAGCTTCAAATAACCTGTTGCTATTCTAGAAATTCAAGATTTTAAAAAGACTACCCACTCTCCCTAAAATTAGAACATTAAGACTTACTCACGAACAGCATATATAAAAAGGATATCTGTAAAGATGACAGAAAATCTTTGGAAGAAGATGGTTGCTTGGCTGGAATAATTTAGGTTTTGGATAACCAGCATTTGTGGGTCAAAGTACTTGGCAATGTGTGAAAGTGCATATTCAAACCAAGCGAAAAATGGTGGATAATCCAAGGTCCATTCTGAAGTAGCCTAAAAACAAAAGGAGATCAAGTCATTCAGAATTTTGAAGACATGTCATTTAAAAAACATCATATATAGTTTATCATAGCTAGTCAGTCAACACATTTTATTTCAGCTAAATAGCTTGGCTAAACAGTCCAAGCCCTCTCAGTCTTTCCTTACACTCCAGCCCTTTTATCATGGCAAGAGCTAAGAGAGGGGCAATTTAATATTACCATGCAACTTGCTCTTTTACTACATAGTCTTTCCCATTAACCACACGTTGAATTGTCTTTTGCATTTCACCAGCACAAGAACTAGCATCTGCTCCATGATTTTTTTTTAACCTGAGTATTACACAGGGCCAACAACCTGTATGTTTTGGCACCACTGTTATACAGCTACCAGTAGCCAACAATCGTCAGTATCCAATAATCACCAGCATCCAGGACACGCATTTTCTGCAAATAAATGGTTTTCTCCTCCAGCATACAAATAGGCTGACATGTCCAATATGTCTGTATCTTACATGCAGTTAAAGAATAACTTTCCAGCCCCCCAAATCCCAACTTACTTCATAGTACCACTGAGAGAGAGGTAAGTTGTGAGTGATGGCAAGCCAATTCCTATGCACTTCAAAGTCTGTGGAATGACTGAAGAAGGTTTACATTAAAAGCCATATATATGCACTTAAGGGAGAAACATTTTAAAGCAAATCACCACTGACAGACATTAAATAAAAAAGCCTACACAGCAGCTGCTGTAAAGCTGATCTAAAAACTCTGATCAAGTTATTTGAACAGCAACAAGGAGGCAGTATATAGGGCATATACTGGAAACTATTAAATGAAAATTATTTATAGGTCAGGTTTTTTGGACATTAATGCCAAAATTGGTGGGTTTGACTTTAAATCTTTTATAAAAATAAAAAACGTATTTTTATCTGTATGATTAACTGGTTAACATTAAAGCTTTTCAATAAAAAAAAAATCACGAATGATTTGGTGCATTTGGAGAGCCTGGATTGCACATGGAAGGCTACGAGTGTGTCTCAGTACAAAACAAGGCCAGTCTGCTCTGAGAAGCCAAAGTCAACACCAGAAAAAGCTCCTTACTCTGGGGAAAAATAAAAAAAAATAATAATAAAAAAAGAGACTCATATTGCTGAAAGGGCAAGGAGGCAGCATCACTGAGTAGTGCCCTACCTACAAAAGCCATATCAATAAGGAAACAAAAACATAACATAATCGGGGTAACTGAACAGATTTTCTGGGAGGTTTCACAAGAAAGGCAGAGCAGGAGGGAGGATTTCTGAACGCCGAGCAGGCAACGAGCTCCACAAAGAACCGGGGGAGAAGAGAAGGGGGAAAGAACCGCGCCCAGCCCGGCTGAGGGGCCCCAACGCCCGGCCGCTGCGCAGCCCCGAGCACGGAGGGAGGCAAAAGCTCTTACTACGTGGGGATGAGGAGGCACTTGAGGAAGGAGACGCCGAGCGCCAGGGCGCAGAACCACCGCCGCGCCGCCGCCGCCATCGCGCGCTGACGGGGCCGCCGCGCATGCGCCGCGACCGTTAAACCGCCCCGCGCCGACCGTTTAAACCGCCCCGCGCCGGCTCTTACAGCGCGTGCGCAGACGTCGCCGTCGCCTCAGGGACTGTGGGGATGAGGGACATGGGTTCGGCGAAGTGTTGGGGCTTCGGGTTTTTTTCGCTGAATAAATAATTTTATTTATTTATTTTTGAGCATAAACGGACTAACGTCTTTCAAGTGCCCTCGGGTGTTTACGAAGGTGCCTGCCCACAGCCTCACTAAAACCCCACTAATTTTCTATGGGCTTCCTGTAATTCTCCTCTCTCCCAGGTAAGTGCTGCAGTGACTGATGCACTTTGCAGGCTCCTTAGAGGAGAAAAGCTACAACTTCAGGAAAGGTGTGTCAAGAAGTGTGTCACAGCCAGGATGCTTTATGGCTTTATGCATGTTTTATTTACTGTTTTCTAAATATATATTAGTAACAGGTTACAAGACTTACAGGAACAGAAATGTAACTATTTTTTTTTTTTTAACATGTAGTAACTCCACAGGATCTCTGTAAAAGTGGTAAGAGATAAAAGCCTTCTTTTGACACTTTGTTAAAAAAATACTCATATCAAGTTTTGACCAACTGGAAAATTGTTAGAAACAAGAAAATAAGAAAGAAGGGTAAAGGAACTGTTCATTCCATGCATCCTTCCCCCATAAACCTTTTTTCCCCCCTTGAATCCATATGAAAACTATTCCACATTTTTTTCCAAGAGAAACTGAGCGCATGATCTGAAAGCTTAAATGTTTTGAAATACCAATATTTCAAATTTTAATTGACCCCTCCTACACACCCCCAAATCTTCTTCATAACTTCCCTACTTATCTGTGAAGTATCAGAAGATTCTAGATTTATTTCAGTCTGTGGCATGGGCTAAAAGTGATACTCACCCCTCTCTGCAGCCTCAGCTATGGACTGCATCAACCTTTTCTAGTGGAAATATTTCTGATTTTTTCTTTTGAAAATATTGAAATTTGAAAATATTCTTTGGAATATTTCTAATTGCAGGTGTTTACTGCAAGTTTACACAAGCAGCAATTTATATTCATCAATCTCATCCAAGAAGAGTATGGATAACTGCAGCAGTGCACACATCTGCTGTTTGAAGCACATGCAAATTTAAGTGAAGCTTCAATTTTTCTTCTCTTTTCAAGTTACTACCCGTGTAACTTCTGGCCTGACCAACTGTTTACATGCAAGTTGATTAAAGCTGGAAAGGACCACTGAGTCATTCTAATCACAGCTTCTTTTTGTAGCAAAACCTTGTCTACATTGTTAATCTTCCTGTTTTTTTTGTTTTTGTTTTTCCATGGACATTTCTAGATTCTTTCTTCTCTCCCTTCCACACCCTAGATTTCTTGACAAACACTTGAATTTTGCCAGGTCTAACTTTTTCAACCTACTCCTTTCACTTCCCTGCCATCACCTGCAGGAATAAACACTCCTCTCGCCTTCTCCTAACATCTCGTAACAGGGGCTACATGAATGAAAGACCTCTTGGTATTTGCATAGGGCTTCAGTCCCTTCATTACAATTCAACATTTTTGGATAACAAAGAGATATCAAACCTAATAACATACAGAGTAATCCACGGGTGTGGAAGAAATAATCCTAGAAAACTTAAGAATGAAAACAAAACACTACGTCTTTTTCTTGTGCTCAGGTCCTTACAGAAAAGTTAAGTTTATTACTTGTAAACTATTTTTTATTTTTCATTAGCAAAAAATTTCCAATGCTTTTCATGACGAGGGAGGGAGTTGTGCTGTTCCCTAAGTGCTTAATATGGCTTTGTGCTTGTTCACTTTAATTCGGGAAAACTGTTGAGAACAAGAATTGTCAATGTTGTTTACTGGAAAAGAAAAAGCAAATTATACCTCTAGAGCTCAGAAATAGAAGCTATCTAGATAAGAAAGGAACAAATGCTTCAGAGAGAGAACATTCCTATAAATGCACATTATAACACAGCTGACAGTGCAAACTTAAGGAACAGTTTTAAATTTAGCTTCCTGTGTAGCTGGAAATAGCAATTGCATTTGTGTAACATATGTTTGACCATAATTCAAAGTGATTCACATATCACTTATTTCACATATTTGGTTAACATGCATTCCTCCCAAAGCTTGTTTTCACTCATGCTTTTATACTTGTTGGAAAAATTTACATTTCCGCTGATGGAAGTTATTAAGAAATGACTGAGATGTGTGAACAAGTCTACCTTTGCCTAAATTAGTCTCCTGATCACATATAATGTGGATTAAAGCTTCCAGTTTTTACATAATACATTGACGAGTTATATGGGCTATATATGGTCATATATGTCTTTCACCAGAAAATGCAGCAAAAACTCTTTAGTATTTTTATTTTACTGAAGCAGAATGGGCAAGTATCAATCCCGAGCTCTAAAGGGCGTGGATGAACCCAAGCTGATAGCAAACAAAATTACTACAAGTAATCTTTTGGTCCTAACATAGGAAAAACTCCTGTTACAGATAATGTAAAGCCTACTCTCAAGCGCTTTGGTTAAAATAACTAACTAAATATACTGCCAACAGTCCCCAAAAGCTGTTAGCACTAAATTCAGCAACGGCTTATCTGCTTCAAGGCAGAGATTTGATGCAAGCAGGATCACACCTGACATTTTACAGATCATCATATCAGCTGTACAGGTCATCACTGAATATCCAATGCACTGGCAAACTCATGGTGGAAATAAGATTCACATTTTGCTTTGTCAGGGCCACACAGCAGCTTCTGGAATGAATTTACTCCCATTTTATAGTTCGGAACAAAAGTGTGATAAAAAAGTCCTTTCTAATGCAGCTAAAAGTAGAAGAATGTGGTGACTCAAGCTGGCATGTGGCCAAAACATCGTGCTAGAAATCCTCAGAATTCACAAGAATTGCCAGGTTTAATGACTCCGAAGGCTTTGGCCCTGCTCAGTCTTTGCCAACAATAAGGTTCCGCTTGCAGCACGCTGGTGGACTGGTTTTGCTCCCGTTGAGGCAGGGAAGTGGTCTGCAACAGGCTGCCAGTAACTGCAGAGTGCGCATTTTTGCCATCCACGTGCTGGTTTGTGTTGCTCATGCAATTACAGTCTGCTTGGGACAGCAGAACTTTGTTCAACTCACCTTTTTATTTTTCCTACAACACCAAAGTACTCCTTTATTCTGTTCACACATAAGCTTAGTGGTAACAACAGCCTCACTTCTTCAGAAAACAAGAACATGAACAAAACAAAACAAACAAACCCAAACCAAAAACAACCTTTTGGAAGAACCAAAGTACTCCTTTATTCTGTTCACATATAAGCTTAGTGGTAACATCTTAGTGGTAACAACAGCCTTACTTCTTCAGAAAACAAGAACATGGACAAAACAAACAAACCCAAACCAAGAACAACCTTTTGGAAGCAATGAAATCCTAACCATGAGGATTTCATTCTCACGTTGGGTGCCCTCTGGACCGTTGCATTTTCTCTTCTGTCTCAATAGGGGTAATGAGAAAAGTTGCAGGGGGGTCTCTCATGCACACATAGCAATCTGGTTAGCAAAGGCAGCTAAAATACTTTTAAATTTAATCTGAGAATGAACCATCTTGAACGCGGTCAGAAATTAAGCTTAGATCTAACACGCAGCTAGTGGAGTACAGTTGTAATAGCACAGACCAAGCCTGGAGGAAGAGGCTTGCCCGTTGTCGTCCCCCGTTTCCCCTGCCTTAACTCTGTCAGTCTTGCACTAAAGTCAAGCAAATGGGTAAAATATCCTTATTTTTCTAACTATTTCACAACGATGTAAAAATATGGCTCAATGTACAGAGGAAAACAACCTCTGCTTTTCTAATGAAAAATACTAGGGACAACCTTGTAGACAGGTTGTCTTTTCAGATGGTATCTGTTCTACTTACGGACCATCTGCTACACTCTGGACACTGCTGAAGGGAGTCATGCCCAAAAGGCCAGGTCCAGGCAGAAGAGGCTCCAACACACAGAAGATACAGGGGGCCTCTGCCCTCTTAGTCCATCTCAGCCTCAGAAAACATTTTCAGTATCCTCCTCCAGACAAGTACATCATTCCAAGAGAAATAAAAGGACTAGCCGCCTCTGATGCCTTCAGAATGTAAAGGTTTGTGAGCATCCAAGGTAAAATGTCACCTCCACCCACAATCTTCTCAGGTTGTAAAAACATCTTTCTCTTTGCTACAGCTTCACTGGTTGTTCAGAACAGTCACATCTTTGAAGAGCTACTTCGCTGAGAGCAGAATCGAGCAGGGGCTTCCTCAGTGTTCAGAAAGCAAACAAAACCAGGTCAGCTTCAGACGGCCACGGAATCCTTTGTCTAAACCATTCAAATTGAGTCCCCTACTCATCTGCAGTTCGCACTACCCTTTACAGCTGTAGTAAGAGTGTGTGCGTGTGGGGAAGCTTCTCTGCTGATCCATGAGAGCTCCACACAGGGGCAGACAACAAAGCAAGAAGTGGAAAATCTGCTCCTCGGGCTGTCCGCTGTTCTGCAGCTCCATGGCTTTTGTTTTTCCCTGCACCTGATCTCCAGATACTTGATTACTGAACCACCACATCACCCTTGGATCATTATGTTAAGGATCATTCCCATTTTCCAGTCGGAAAACAAAGAAGGGTTGAAGTGAATCCCCCCGTGCTTACACAGCAGGTCAGAGGTGGAGGCAGACACAGGATCAATCCTTAATCCAGGAACTGGACAATATTCCTTCTGTTTAGAATATGGACATATTCTGAAAGATCATATTGGTAAACACATTAAAGGAAAATCATCGCCCTGTTAGTGACTCTTAATCCAGATTAGCATGATTCTGAATTAGGCTGTAACTGTGTTTTAAAGGGAAACACTTAACCTAAGTTATCTCCATGCTGTTACCCTAATAAACAGATGCTATTACTTGTACCGAATTAGGCGAATAATCTTATTTTTCATGAAATCTGATGTATGTGGGTGAGAAGAATCTATGCAGAAACCATCCCCCATGGCTATTTTTAGTACTTCTTCCACAAACACCTGGAAACTATTGATTTGTTTGTTATCAGGCACCACCCAGAGTCTCTTCAAATTCTGCCTTGTGTACTCCTCTTCTGGGAGGCCTTCCACACTTGCAACCCAATCTAGGGTCAAATGGTTGGGATCTTGTAGGTAGCTGGATATTGAAGAGAGGTTTCCATTGAAGCAGTAGTAAAGTTTGGAACCTAGGAGCTTCAGGAAGAGACACGACGTGGAGAAGATATGAGCACTGAACACTTCCATATTGGAGGAAGACAGGCTGTAGATCTGGGGTGCTTCTCGAACAGTGAAGTGGACAGTCTGCGTCTTCTGGTCAAGGGTGATGTTGAGCATGGCATTCTTCTCAGCTTTAGAAAGCTCCACCTCCTTCTCCTGCAAGGCCTCAATCAGTGGTTGAATTTGATAAAAATCAACCTCCCGTCGGAGTAAACCCATCTCCTGAAAGTCTTCGGGGAGGTCCAGGTGGGAAGTTCTTAAGAAGTTCAGGATATAGCGGAAGATCTTGCCGTCCCTGTCGATAAAGCAGTTGCCTTGGCTGTCCTTCTTGGTTGGCATCTTCCCACTGAACATGGCCCCCAGCATGGAGTCTGGAAAGCTGGTCAGGGTGGACAGGGAAGTCGTATAGAGTTTTCCTCCAACGTTGAGCGTGATGGGTTCCGACATGGTGGAAAAGTCACAGTCCTGGGCCCAACTCTAAAATAAAAAAGCAAAAAAGAAGAAGGAAAAAAAAAAGAGAAAAATAGAAATCCAACACCACACATTTAGATGCATTTACTTGTTCAAAAAAGTAAACTAAAGGGAAAAAAGAGTCCTAAATATAATAGTAATGTTATGACTCATTACAGAAGATAGAAATGGGGAAATACTTTTGGAGGTTGTATCTTCAAAAGATTTTTTTATTATTATTTTATTCCAAACAGACTTTCCACAGGGCTTTCTCTACTTCAGATTAACTAGTGCTGGAAATCATGAGTCTTCCCAAATGCTACAGTTATGTGAAATGCGCCCCACTGATGTCTACAGAAGAACTAGTGGTGTCTGCAAAGCCAGAATTGTTCCCTGCAGCCCGTATCCCTCCTGAGCACAGAATTTAGAGGAAAAAGGAGGAGCGGGCAAGAACCAGACACATCCAAGTATCTTTGTGGCCTCTGAAGATAGAGTTAAAGGACCAAGCTCTTGCCATGGTGTCCCATGACACAAATTTGCAGTCATCCTACCAGACAGGATTGCAGCTGTGCCCACGTAGTCTGCAGTTCCATTCAGTAAAAATCCCCCAGGGTTTCTGTTTCCAATATATGTTACTTTAGCAAGCATTTCCTAATTAATTTGAGCCATATCTTCCATTGACATAGTGCTGTGCAGCTCCTCTGCAGGCAGCTGAGATAAATTGAGCCTGAAATTTTATGATATTGTTATTCTAACCATCTCTGAAAGGGACCTACCTCTCTTTCCCCTCCATCTTACATTCCTTCTCCTTTACATCAGGTCTGGCGCTTCTCTGATCCCACAGTGCATCCTGGTTAAGGAGCAAAACCACCAGGGAACCACCGGTTTCCATTTTGAGTAGGTTTCTGCTAGTTTAACTCTTCAAACCACTTTAAAAACCACATGAATGCCAGGACTGGTGCAAAGGAAGAGGAGGGACCCATGTTCCCCTTTTTCACTTCAGATCAGCTCGGCTGCACCAAAAAGCTGTGCTAAGGCTGTGGGAACCAAGCTGAGCCTCTCTGCTCAGTTCCCCATCTGTTTTCCTGTGTTTGCCGAATCCAAATTCATCCATAGCTCCCTTCCAGCTTTACTGTTCAAATCCTGCAGATAATGCTGGAAAAATATATAAAAAACAGCAGAAATCCCATCAGTGTTTGCTTACAGAGATAGGAGGTTGCTCTTGTAGTAACTATGGTTGTACCACACAAAGCAGACAAACAGCTCCCTTAAGGATATACTTAACTGCAGACATTTCAATAACTAGTCATGGAATAAACTTAGACACTGTGACACCATTATCAGCTCTGGAGTCACACCAAAATACAGAGACAACTGTATTTTGGCACTGCAAGATCAACTCTTCTGTGGCTGCTGAAGCCAGAATAATACATATATGTACATTAATATATGCCCCCATCTCAGCAGAAGAGCATCCACTAACATCCTGGGAATACATCCTGGGAAGAAAATAAAGAATTATTTATTTTACTGTTAAACTCCACTCAGTACTATGGAACACATTTCTCATATTTCCACTCAGCATATTTCTTCCCCTTGAAGACTTCTATCCAATTTATAGAGTAAAAAGCTATTTTAAGCAGACTGAACACAGGCTTGACCTGGTCTAATTCTGTGGTACAAGTGGCTGCCATGTATTTTTTTCCCCTAAGAGCTTGTAATGCATCTGTAAAAGAAATACAAATACAATCCAATGTTCACGAAAGCAGCCGCAAATGGATTTTTTTAAAGTTTAGCCAAAGATGAAAAGCATTCCCCAAATCACACTGCAAATAATTCAGACTGTAGAGCTAGGACTGACAGTGTCACCCAAAGCCACATGCATTACTTCCCTCCACTGCTACCACTCAGTCTGCTCTAAACAACCCAGATTCTTCTGTTCTCTCCTTCTAAGTCATGTTTTCAGATCGCTGATCACTTTTAAGGCCCAAGGAGTAGTTTTCTCATGTCCTTTGCCATCCAGCTGCAAGAAATGACATATTTCCCTTAGTTTGTATGTGGCAGCCTTCACTCGGCAAGGCCCCTTGTCAAGAGAGATGCCCTAAACACCACTGGATGGTTCAAATGTTCAGTGACAAGGTAAAGCCTTTCATTTCACATTCAACATCCACCCAAAGTTTATTCTGATTCAAGAACTTGCTGGCTCTGCTCGTTGAATGCAAAACAGCTGCATGGGTCCAATCTGAATGGAAAATGTTAAAAAGAAAAATCTCCTAACTCTGTTTCTCTATCAGTAGTCTTAACAGGAAGGCTACCAACAAAATAAGGCAGTAATATGAGCTCTTCTAAATCGAAAATAATGTCTAGCAGATTAACTCATTAGCTTATCTGGCTAGTTAGAATTTTTTACCTTTGCAGCACTGTACAAAAATGAGAGCTCCAACAGTCTGGCACCTTTTAAAGTACCAAAACCCAGCACAGACAGGCTGGATACATCACTAATAGGACTTAATGCATTTAGCAACCAATGTACTTGGTTCTAGCCGAGGAGAGAAAGTCAGTCTTTGCTGCTTTTCTCCTCATAAATATCACCTCCAAGGCAGATTAAAAGAATTGCCAGTTTGCTCTTAAAAAAACAGCATTTGCACCCTCTACCCTACAGCATCAGGATCAGGCACTTCCTTAACGTCAGTTTGCAAGAACGCAGCGCAAGAGGTAACTTCAGTTTAGTGGCATTTACACAAGAACAGGGTAAAGCAGCATCTGATCTTGGCCATGGGTGGCTCTAACTTGCAGTCAAAGCCGTAAAGACAAGTACAAATTGGGTTACAGAAAATTGCAGCACAGCATTTTGTGTCGCTGCTCCCAAAGTTCGGCTTGAAATTCATTCAAATTAGATCAGCCAGAGACCTAATTGAGAGCTGAAGATGCAAATGTAGCTGAAAACACAGGATGTATTATGTGCTCCTACAGTAATTTGTATTTAAATATACTTTTCTTAAAAAAAAAGTATTTAAAATCATGGGAAATAATGATGAAATAACAGAAAGGTATGAAACTGTGAGAAATGACAAAAATCTACCTGTTTTCACTCAAGTTCTTCATGTTTATAATTATCAGCTCAGTTCCTTCATTATAGATAACACTTTCTTTGTTTAATAACTTTAGATGTAAATTATCTTTGGATAAATTTTATTTCCCCTCTTAAGTATTCATCACATTTAAGAGAGCTTTAATAAGCTAGTCAATAAAATTTTGTCTACATAAATTCCCTGACTTCCTTCCTAACTTGGGAAAAAAATATCAGTATACAAATAACATCTAAAAATGCATCATTCGTGATTTGCTATATTTATCATGTTTCTTTATATTTTACTTAGGTTATTAAATCACAAATGATGTATTTTTAGATACATATGTACACATAAAGTACAGAGGAAAAAAACAATTAGAAAAACAAGCTTTCTGGTTGCTTATTCAGGTTAAAATTGGCAAATAAAGCGACAAGTAAAATGAAAGTAAAAAAACACAGAAACTAAAGCAGCAGTAATTGATTATAAGCACAGATTTAACCTTACAGGTGAGAGGGATGGAATAAGATTCAACTGCTTGGACATCAGAGGCAGCACATAAGGCAGGGTTAACAGGCTGACTGTCCTGTCAGCCAGAGAAACTCATTAATAAATGAATTAAACAGCAAGCAGAAAAGGGCACCCGCATATCCCAACCCTGGTGCTCCCCTACTCACAACCACAGCCAAATGTAGCATTGCACAGTCATTTATGTGACCTTTTTTCCTGTTTTAATTCATAACGTACCACGTTGCAGATTAATTTTGTATTGTAGCCTTCAACATCGCATCGACAAAACATCCCTCCCCAAAAACTTTGCAAATTCTGTCTATTTAAGACAGCCAGCTTAGCTAAATAATAGTTGAGAAGTAACAACAGACTGCAAAGTATCTATACAGCAAAATAAGAGATCAGTTATTTAGGCTGCCACAATGAAGAATGGCCTAAGTGGCAACAAAAGTAAAGCAAGACAGAGAACATTTATGATAGGCATCAGGAAGAACCAGATTAAAATCTATCGGGCTTTTGAGCACTGCCCAAGAGAACTGGTAAGAGCCTTATCAGTCGGAAAAAAAGAGGCTGATCAGGTAATGTGTTATAGGAAATAATTCTGGGTTGGTAGAGGACAGACTGATTTTGCATCTTACTAAAAGGGGATGCTTCATTTTGAGGTTAAAAAGAATCCATTTTTCATGAAATATCTAAGTCCTAATAAAAACATCTATAACTTGCAATACTGCAGTCTGGACACATGCAGTGGTACCCGCCCCTGGAACTCACCTTGACTTCACCTGTAGACAAATTTTGTGTCTTGTCCCTTTTCCAGGTGCTTTCTCAGAAGAAGTCAAGACCCTCCACTAAGAATTTGTGCCTTAGTCCCTAAGGCAGCCCTGGGCAGCCTGAAGTCACTGTTGCCGTGACAGGTAGAGCAGACAAAACAAACAAAAAACACCACAGGGAACAAGCAGAAGCAAGGTAAATGGTTTTGAGAAAAGAAACGTAAACTGCTCAGTTCACCATTTACCTGGCCAAAGCCAGAGCCCAGGGAAGGGGCTTGGGATGCAACCTGTAGCAACAAGGTTAAACCTCCCTTAGTGCAGCCCATCCACATTTTCTCACCTAAGCTGATCCCTAAGTCTGGAATACTAAACATTTGCAATATGGTTTCTCTCCCTTCTGCGCTTATTTACACTAATTACACAGTGCAGATTCCATGTTTCCCCACAGCCGCGGGGCAGGAACTGATCCCACCCAACCCGGGATGCTCAGGAGAGGCAAATCCAGGTCCTGGCCCCTGCACAGAGGCGGGTGACACTTGCAGAGGGCACCTCGGCTCCTACGTCCCCTAAATCCAGAGGTGATTCCTTCTCGCACGCCAAGGCCAGGTTTAATACCCAGTCGGGTGAACCCAAGCACGGCCAGTGTGCCAAGGG